CAGACTACTCATGGAAGTGACTGGAAGCTTAGGGTCTTCTGCAAAGTGATGCTGTATACTCTGGTAGAAGTTTACAATCACTGCACACAGACAAATTTACCTTTTTTACTCTCCCCTCCCACAACATTGGTTTCCTTCTTTCTTGATTGAGATTAGGAAGTCCTATTGGAACACTTACTTTCAGTTTTAGTGTAAGGTCTGTTGCTCTCTCTTTCACAATTTTAGTATACAATCCTAATTATACTGCTGTCACGGAATTTAAAACGTGGAAGTAACTTAAAACATCCTCAAAAACTATAAAATTTTTAAGCCAGATTTAAAATTCACATTACAATTACTATGAACATTACTGCCTTCTGTGATGTGACACCGTGCAGTTTGGTAGAATTTTACTGTTTCATTCGAACCTGCTACCTTCATCCGAGAGCGCCAATTCCTTCAAATATCATAACAGTTTACCATGCCACACAGAAGACATCAATCTTTATTAAATTCTTAATGCAATGTTTTTTAAAATTGGCACTCAGTTTGACATATTAAATTTTGTATACAGATAGATCATAAGCACATCTATATTTTTTTTAACTTTTTTTTTATGCCAACAAGAAAATGGTGTGAATCTTTAGTTTTATCTGGCAAATTTACCTCAGCCAGGATAAGTACTACTAACAATTATACACGGAAATGGACCACTAAACATCTTTTAAGTGTTCTGATGATGGTGTATCACACTTTGCATTAGTAACGAAACATTTTATTTTAATTTAACTGGATATTAAAAAAAATATTTTAATGGTGTATTACCAGCCAAGTATCATTTTTAAGCTTCAATTTTAGTATTACTTCTGTAACATAAATTGATGAAAATATGCTCCTAATGGATGTCTTTGATATATACATACTAACAGACAGGAAGATACAGCAAAGATAGTATGTGTGTGTGCTTTGCCATGGAATTTAAATAGTGTACATCTGTGGAACATTTTGTTCAGGTTATACTATGCACAGTGAACAGACTATACAACCAGATGAACTCATATGGAAAGAGGAAGACAACTATGGGGGGGGGGAGAGGATATAGACACTTACCTTTAACAAGGCTCTGCTGAACTGCACCAACCCAGAATGCAGCAGTGGGGGATAAGGGGGAAAAATGGTGTGGGAATGCGACAGGACTAATGAACTGACCACATGGAGAGAGGCAAACCCACAGTACACACACCACATTACTTCAAATACAGTACAAGAGGCCCATTTCACATTTCACATTTTTTCCCCATTGAAAAATTGAGGTGTCTTAAATTTGAGGAATTATTCACCAGTTTACAAACTGTCAACAGGGTAGACTGGAAAGAACCTAACATAAACATATTCAGAGTGACTCATCAAGCCACATCATGCCCCCACCCATCACCATTAACTGTGGGTCAACCCCCAACTTTTAGTTCAGTCATTGCCTTACATTTTTATCGTTTAGGTGTTTTACATATGATACCACATTCAAAAGAAAAGTTATTCCGCACGCTGAAAAGATAGGTATTCACGCAGCTGGCAGTAAGTATACAGTGAGGGAGGCATGTGTACATCATTAGCAAAGTGTAAAAACGAAACTGTTTTCATATCTGCCTTAATGTATATGTATATAGCTAGCCCCCATTTGTTTCCTGATGGCTGTCAGTCCTCCTGTCTGCTATTTGGTTGCCATTCAGCCTTCCTTGGTTCCTGTGTCTCTCTCAGAGGTCTACTGGCATGTTTCCAGTGCTGGTTGTTGTTTCTGTCTCCCTTCCATAATGGCAGTTACCCTGGAAGTGGCCTAGTTCCCCACAGCTCTAACATGCCGATCATCTTGTGCCTCTTCACCTGAGGGAGGACAACTGGCTCCCCCAGAATGTCCTTGCACTCATTTTGTGGAGCCTGGTGGCTAGGAGAACGGCCTGCAGTTTGAGGCCCTGCCTGAGAACCCTATTCACTGCCTACTGTTGTAGTTCAAATGTTGAATTATTATCAAGAATATGCTGCCTAGCAATGAACATTGTTCTGTCATGAAAGTTGTTTCAGAGCCATACAGAAATACAAAAACATGAACCCTACAGCCCCAAACATAGATTCCACAATAAAAATACATAAATCAAACATACTGTCACGAGTTTACGGCTCCGTGACCAATAATAACAGGTTCTAGATTGGATCACTGGCCATATTAATGCCTTCTTCTACAATTTCTTTTAATCACAATCGATTATAGCATTATCGTTAATCTATACACTTTGCAAATCACTAGGACATGCTAAGGCTTCTCAGTCTTCACTAGTCGTATCCTGGCAATAAATTTATAACAGCCTCATGCTAAGTCTTCTCTTCACAGGCTGACTTTCAACGGACAACTGAACTGGACCATACTATGATTGGACTGGCCTGTATATTTGAGAACCACATAGAAAACTCCTCTTATGACACTAGTTTCCTTGTCACATTCACAGTGTGTCACACAGCAACGGAAGCTATAAGATTTGCTTAGTGCGGGGTGGAGTCCATCTGGGTCCTCTCAGCATGGCGGCCACTGATTGGCCTACTGTAGTCTGTCCTGGGTGATTATGATGATGGAGAATTTGGTGGAATGAAGATTGGCAGGGGAAACTGAAGTACTCAGAGAAAACACGCCCCAGCACCACTTTGTCCACCACAAATCCCACTTGACCAGACCTGGGATCGAACCTGGGTTGTCGCAGTGGGAAGCCAGCAACTAACCACTTGAGCTATGGTGTGGCCAAGCTATTGCCTAGAAATGGGTCTACATGTCACAATACCCATTAGACCTATAATTGGAAAAATGCGCCAGCACATAAATTGCTGAAACAATCAACAAAAATGTTACACAAGCACCTATATTTACTAATAATGTTCGCAAATTCAACCACCTAATGACAGACCTACAAACCATCAAACTTAACAGAGACATGAGAATAACACAGTGTATACCGATGAAACAGTAACAGATACCATACATATCGTAAGGACAGGAAGGAAGGGCAGACATTTGAATACCTTAAAAAATATCACATTTATAAAATCAGTAGGAATAACTTGCATATGGACATGTGCATTGAAACACTGAACCCCATGTTTCATATACGAGGGGAAGTCAATAATTATCTGCAATGCAGTTGTGCACAGCACTGTCGTTTTGCGCAGCACCGCCATGCGTGGTTTCCTTGTCATTATTTCTGCGCAGGTTTGATGTTGCTAGGTCAGTTCCATCATCGTTATCCTGCCGTTAATCATGGCTGCTCCACTTTTTGTTTGTTTGTCTGTGCAAGATGGGTCCCAAAACAACTCACAGTGTTGCACAAACAAACGCGCTTGGACATCTGCCAACAACATTTGGATCGCTATGGTAATGAACGTGACGTCTTCTTAGACAGAATCATCACTGGTGACGAAACATGGATCCATCATTGTGAGCCGGAGAGTAAACAGCAGAGTATGGAATGGAAACATCCACAATCGCAGAGCAAGAAAAAGTTCAAAAGCCAACCATCCGCAGGAAAACTTATCCTTACAGTTTTTTGGGACTCACAAGGCCCAGTACTGGAACAGTATCAGGAGAGGGCTACAACAATAAACAGAACATTATCAGGAGAGGGCTACAACAATAAACAGTGCTCATTTTAGTGAGATGCTTACTGACCGGCTAAAGCCTGCAATTCGAAGCAAACACCGAGGACTACTGTTGAAAGGTGTTGTGTTGTTGCACAACAATGCTCATCCACATACTGCTGCCCACACTGCTGAAACCCTCCGGAAACTCAAGTTTGATGTAATGGCTCATCCTCCGTATAGTCCTGATCTCGCCCCTTCTGACTACCACTTGTTTGGTCCACTCAAAGAGGCATTATGGGGCCATTGATTCACCTCGGACCAAGAAGTGAAGGAAGCGGTGCATGCATGGTTCGCTGCTCAGCTGAAAACCTTCTTTTCTGAGGGCATCAGGAAGCTTGTGCAACGATGGACCGAGTGCGTTGAAAAGCAAGGGGACTATGTTGAAAAATGATGTTAATGTAAGTTTTCTATTTGTATTGAAATAAAATTTATAGCTACATTGCGGATAATTATTGACTTACCTATGTAATACATGAACTTTACAATAGATAGCACACACATACTCCCAGAAAAGATATATAAGTGGGCATGTAAGTACACAAGAAAATAGAATACAGACATATAAAAAAAGTAGATTCATAAAATAATGATACATCTTTGCACTAATAATAAACATATATCATACATTACAGAAACACGGATGCCACAAAATGAAAAATAACACGGAATGGAGAGACTTTTATTCTGAAACAAACATATTTTAGTGTGAGCAACAATATGTAACAGCATGGAAATACATTGACTTATGATCTAGTGCGATGTATCAGTTTCAAAAAGTGAACAATTACCTGAAGATGGCCAAATTGGGCTGAAACATGTAGCAGTTGATGTGATTTTAATGTCATTTTAAATTAAAGACAGACTGTGAACAGTTGCACTAAAGATGGAGGCGAATGAGTGAGTGATGTTTTACGAGTTCTCACAAATCTTAATTACAGTTCTTAGTGCAAAATTTAATTAGTTAGTTAGTTATTGGAGAGGGTGGGTTTCCCCATGCACTGAGACCTGTGTTGGTCCATTGTGCTTCCCTCTATGATTTCTACCAGTCTCTATATCCTACCGGTACTGGTGCTTACCATCAGTCCCGCCCAGCCAGCGAGACCGGCTCTACTAGCTGAGAGGTATCTATAATGCTTCCCCCATCTACCAGAGGTATTAGAGACTGCTGTTGGGCGGGAAACGTCCGTTAATTTGGCTCAGTGACCTCCTTTGGAGATATGAGGTTCTTTTACGTGCCGTAAAGCTACGACATGGGACCCACGGCTTAAAGTCCCTCCCAGAGGACTTGTTCCCTGAATTTTTCCGCCCTTAAAAATTTGACGACCTCCGCCGGGTATTTGAACCCGCGTACTACGAGTCATGAGGTGGGAATGTTACCTCTAGACTACAGAGGCCGCTTGCAAAATTTAATTACAATTGATAAGTGTCTTAAATGATCTTAGGTCATAGACAGACAGATATGACCCCTACACATGGTTATCACCTTCCAATTCCACATAAAGAACACCTAGTTTATTTTCACTACTGCAATACCAAAACTGTGCAGGGTGAAATCTGATGACTACAAAACTGTGATATATAAGCTAATATAACTCTTGCTTATACATGTGAGGCATTAACTGGACGGAATTACAAATTTAATGCAAATGAAAAGGTTGAACGCACACACAGTACAAGTGAGTCACACAGCACACAGGCGAGTGACATTGCGGTTCCTGCATGGTACAGCGTAACTACTCAGGCAGCAGATCTTCTCCTAGCTCCTCATCACCAAACTCATCCTCAGCATGTTTGTGGCCCACTGACGTACGAGGCCGCTCTGCAAGAGGACCCAGAGGATCACTGTAGCTGGCATCTGAGAATAACAAACAAGAAACTATGTCAAATTAAGCAATGTTAATAAATTAGACATATGACTTTCTTGTTTTTACTTCAGCATACATTGTACTCAACTGAATATACTAACTAGCAAATTAGCGAACTAATTAACTTCACAATGGAGGGTTATCTTTGACGAATCCAGTTTCTCAATTGATCAAACTCCTATGCCCTCCTTTTATGGAAACTCACTGTCTGCATTCAAAGATGCATATTATTAGCCTTATGGTTGGCCATACTAATCCAGTCCACACCTTCATATAAGATTTTTCTAAGATTCATTTCAATATTAACCTTCCACATACACCTGTCTCCTAAGTAGTTTCCTTCACTGACGTACTCAAACCCAAATAGCGTAATTTGAGGTGCATGCTGTTTCATACAACAGGCAAGATTTTGCACTGATGGGTTGGCAGACCCATGCCTAACTCCTAGTCTGAAGGACCACTCCTTGCCAGGTGTCTGTGAATGTTCCCTCAACATATTCTCAGCAACCCTCCATCTCTGAAGAAACTCTCTCAAAGTGTAACCCCAAAATATTTTGACAAGGGTCTCACTTAACACTGCACTCAAATAGTCATATAAAGTGCAAACCTCCACCCACAGAGAAACCCATGACAAAGAGCTCAACATGCTTTAGATGGCAGGATTCCTACCTTATGGCATTACTTCTGACAAGAAATGAAGATAGAAAGTCTACGTGTTTCTTAAACAGAGTACTGTACAGTCTGGTGCCTATCAAAGTGTCAATCTCCATATTTTACTAGAACTAGGATTTAAGCAGACCTCTAGTTTAATGGGGATCCTAAAGCACAGAATGGGTCTTGTATTCCTCCTCTTCACATAACATTTACTTTGTTCAAAAGGTGGGGTTTCAATTGGCAAATGGATAAGTCAGTACTGGATGTGGTCAAATCTAGGATTTAATAACTCTGTCCGGATACTAAGCCCTCAATTCACTTTGATTTCAAACAGGTACAAGTTACGGAAGATTTAGAACAAGCCTGGGCAGTAGCAATATTATACAATGATAAGAGAAAAATTATTTGTTACAAACAGCATTTTACCTTAAGTAGTATGAAATTCACTCAATCTCAATCATTAACTTTCTTGTGTAAATACTGAGAGGAATTAAGATGCTCACCAACATCTCTGTGTTGACTAGTGGGGCTGTAAGTCTCGCTGGTCTCAAGCAGTGCCATCTTGTGCAGCCGTGACACTTGAGAAGGCACAGGTGGACTATTACGAGCACCAGCTGACAGTTGGGGTGAATCACTCAGAGGACTATTAAGCCCTCCACGAGATGAGCGACCACTTCCACTTCGCAGTGATCCTGTATAGATGGTTATTTATTTAAGCTAATCAACACAGGTACCAGTACCTTAAATTCATTACAATGAAATTTTAACATTTTTGCTTCCATACCATATAATATTCCATATCTGAAGTTGATCATTTACCAGTGGTTGGTCCCCATTACAATATCAAACAAAGATTGGATAGAAACACGCTATGACAAGACAAAAGATATCCTTTTCAGCATGCACTGCGAGCATGTAGTTCCTCCTAGACTAAACAGTGTACCATTGTAGGATGGCTGAGGAATGGTGAGTTGGAAAGGATCTGGAAACAGCCATGGCCTAATTGACTATTATCCCCAGCATCTGCCTGGAGGCCTAAGCAAAACCATGAAGATATTCAGTCCACATAGCTGGTACCTTGGCCAACATCCAAAATGAATACCTCCTCAGGACAAGTCTAGAATGTTATCACTTGACAAACCTGTTTGGTAGCATAAAGTTCTTTCTTTTGCTACTAGATTTTTTGATGGCTTTCGATTTAGATCCCCATGACTGGCTGCTCAGGAAAACTGTGGCCTCGGGGGTATTTGTGTGGATATAGGAATTCCTTTTGGGCCATACACAAGAGTTAAGAGTAGGAGGGAAATTATGAGATGAAGTTAGAGTAACGTCAGATGTACTGGGTCCACTACTGTTCCTTGCGTATGTAAATGATATTTGGATACATATTGAATCAACTATTAGACTTTTTGTAGATGACTGTATAATATATAGCAAAATTATAAATAATACTATATGGAAAAGTTGCAGATAGATCTGAACAGGTTGGGGGAGCGGGTGGTTGAGAATGCGGTGATAATTAATCCAGATAGAGCAAGGCAGTTCATTTTACGAGAGCCTGAGTTACAGGACATAGTAATTCCAGAAACAAGAAGCTGTAAATACTTATGCAGTGATTTAAGTTGGGCTGATAAAGTTAATTACATGGTGAAAAAAGCCTGGAAGGCACTTCATTTTCTTAAAAAGGGAAACGGTAACACTAAACGTTTAGCGTATACATCACTAGTACATTCGATTCTTGAATATAAGGTGGCCTGCTGGGATCCTTATGGGAAGGGACAGATAAAATGTGCTAGACCGGGTGCAAAACACAGGGCAGAAAAATAGCTCGCATATATGCTCTCTTCACAGCATACACGGGAGAACAGGCTTTGAATGTTATAAGTGATAGATTACAAAGATCATGCTATCTGAGCAGGGTTCATCATGGGAGGAAAATTAGGAGCAGAAAGCAAAAGACAGATATTGGAAAATATTCCTTTGTAAATAGGATCATCCAGCTCTGGAACCAACTACTTGCAGATGCTTTAGGGACTCTCTCCTGTAAATCAAGCAATTTTAAGAAAAGGGTTAGGAAACTGATAAATAAGGTAAGTGAAGGTGTGGGGGAAATAATCCAAAAATGCAGTCAAGTGAAGTGAGGTGAAGGGAAGTAAATTGTTGTGAGGATATGAAGGGTATGCAAGAGTAGTGAAGTGAAATGTGAGTGCATCAATTCATTACATTACATATTTCATTACAGTTACTGCTTAGTGTATAGTATGCTTATTTCTTATCACTATTAATTTATATAATTGTAGTTGTAATTGTATTTGCATTGTATTCATTCTGTGTAATGTGTCATTTATTGTTGTGTAGTAAAAACCCATTTGCACTTAAAATAATAATAATAATAATAATTCAATTCAATTCAATTCAATTAGTGTTTATTTACATGCAAACTTAACAGTGCAAAGGCCAATCACAGTTAGCATGAGTACACAGAAATACACAAAAATAATTAAAGAGCACAGTACAAAATATGACAGTCTATATAACAGAAATACATTAATAACAATTCCAAGAAAAATTGAAGTTACCTTTAACAGGCGAGAAAAATAAAATAAGTACATTTCCAATAGTTATGCCATTTGTGGCGAGAAAGGACAATATGAGTACATACACACATAGAAGTTAATAATAATAATAATTCAATTCAATTCAATTCAATTCTTTATTATTAATGTGCCGAGTCAACAGCCGCAAGGCCAATTACAGACTCAGCACAGTGTAGATGACTGAATTACATTACATACAAACTTATTAAAAGTCAAATACAAATTACAGTTAAATAATTGGAAGAAATAATAATGAATAAAAGTAAAAGTAAACAAACAAATAAGTGATAATTATAACAGTAATAATAATTCCATTATCATTAAACTAAGTGCTATTACGAATAGAGGAATGAAACATTAATATTTAATTAAGAATTGAATAGTATAGATTTTCTGAGGAAAATTACGTAATTCATTTTGCTTTACTGAACATGCAAATAATAAAAATACTAACAGTTATACTGTATTTAAAATTTGTTTGGGTAGAACATTCCTGGCTCCGAATACGTCAACCTCCCTGCAGACAACATTAGCAGCTGCTGCGCATCTAGCAGAGGGACAATTCTTAAATAAAGGGCAAACATTGAACAATGCAAAATCTCTGATATACCGAGCAGGAACTCGGAGACCAACAATTTCCAGGGCAGAAGGGCAGAATTTAGAGCCAAAATAAACTTGAATAAGAAAGAGAGCATCAAGGCGATGTCTCCTAGTACATAAAGTATGTAATTTTAACTCCTCAAGAGCAAGAGAATAATTGTAGTGAACTTTAGGAAAGAAACGTTTAATAATAATAATAATAATAATAATAGATGGTGCATGCAGTTTAACATCAGCCATCCTTGGATGTACGAAGATCATTTGGTATTGATTTATCATAAAATATTGCAAATTGCTTGCATACTATTAAAAAATGGCTACTGGGAGGTAAGCCAGGAGCAGATATCACAGGAGTGAAAGTGTTAATATATATTTAATTAAATGCTTGTGCAATAGTCATCTAATGGAAAATTATGAAGTGTGGGTAAAACATTTGGTACTATATTCACCCCAAAATAAGACAATCCTTTCTGTAATTTAATATCTCATAAACAAAGCCAAATACAGTGTCAAGAATATCACTCTCCAGTTTCACAAGACTATAATTTCTTAACCATTACACATCCTATGGGGGGAGGGGGTGATGAAATGATGGTTAACACAAAACGTTTTACATTACATTGCAACTGGTATAGGTGACTGTTCAGAGAATCAACTGAATTTCAGATAACAGTGAAAGCTACTCACCTGGTCGGCTGCTACCAATTCTCTCGCGAACCTCTTTCGCCTTCTCAGCTTTTTTCAATTCAAGCGCATATTCTGCTGCTTCCTTGATACCTAGATCACTGCAGAGACGAATGAGAAACTTCAAGCCTGCCAAATGTAAATAAAACACGTCTACAACAAGAACTGCCAAAAAATGCATTCATAACTTCCTCCTAATAATCAAAATTTGTTTCCCATGGGGGGGGGAACTCCATGGCTTCAGTCCACAAGCAAACTATACCAAGCGAGCGACTGCTGCTTGTCGGTGAGGTTAGTGCCAACTTCTGTGGATAGAGTGTGTCGTGTGGTCAGCACAATGAATCCCCACGGCTGTTAATCTCAGTTTTCTAGACTGGGTTCCCCCTGATTCACTTAAATTTAATCACTCGCTTAATAACAGACTGGAAGTAATATACAGGGTTTGTCCGAAAAGTAATGTCAGTTATTTTATTGTGAAGTGACTATATGTCGCAGCACTCTCAGACCGGTTGGGATCGGTGGAGGGGGAAGTCAGCTTATGAACCCGCGGTCGCTTAGTCGTCTCCGAACTTCCTGAGAGTGACGAAAGGCTTTTCCGTGAAACTCGTTTTTGTCTCCCGTGCAAGCCGCAATGCAGCGCTCCTTGGAACAAAGGATTGCCATCATGTTTTGTGTGAAACTTGGCAAGTCTGCAGTGGAAACTTTTCCCATGATAAAGACGGCCTTCGGTGATGATTGTTTGTCGGAATGTCAGGTCTACCGGTGGCACAGGGCCTTTTTAGAAGGCCGTGAAGAGGTCGACGATGAAGCCCGCGCTGGACGGCCATCAACAAGCACCACCGACGAAAATGTGAGTTTGTACTACATGGTACAACCATCAACGCCAAATTCTACATGGAAGTGCTAAAGAGACTCAAACGAAGTGTTTGTCTCATCCGGCCCGACATCGCGGACGATTGGAAACTTCACCATGACAATGCGCCAGCCCACACCGCCTTCCTCGTGACCCGCTTCCTGACCAATTCAAAGGTGCCAACGGTTCCCCAGCCGCCCTACAGTCCTGACGTGGCTCCCCAGACTTCTTTTTGTTTCCGCGCTTGAAAACTCTCATGAAAGGACATCATTTTGGGACAGTTGGCGAAGTCAAAGAGGCTTGCACCAAGGCTCTAAAGGACATTCCGGAGGAGGCCTACCATGACGCCTTCGATGCCTAGAAATCTCGCTGGAATCGATGTATCGACGCAGAAGAAGCCTATTTTGAAGCCTTTTAATGTGTTGCACCGATCCAATCCATAAAAGTTTTTTAATCGACTCACTGACATTACTTTTCGGACAAACCCTGTATAATATAGTAAATAAACCAATTTTTGACAGAACATGTTTTTTACCACACCACTGTATCTTAGTTGTTTTGTTTCTTAATTTATAAAAAAGTGCTTTTGAAACTACATTCATGATACACATATCAGAAGGAACTTTCTGAATTAAAAACTGGGATGGATTTGGAAGTTACCACAACCTATTTTAAGCTATCTTATGATAGTTTCCCTGCAGAAACCGAATGAAAACACAAAAAATGTCAATCAGGCAGCTGGCCTCTAGACTAAGAAACAAACTTGGGACACCTGTGAGTTTGAAGCATGAGCGTTTATTACTCTTGTTCAACATTCAGTACCCATATTTTTCAATCCCATGTGATAAGAAATGATACTCACATTCAATATTATCAGGGAAACGGACATGAATGTCTTTGTAAGCTTGTAGAGCCTGATGATAGTTTCCACTTCTCCGATGACATGAAGCAGCCATCAGCTGCCACTTCACTTCATTAGGCTGCATAAGAGCTGCCCGTTCAAAGTAGCCTAATGCCTTTTCAGCCACTTGATGCTCAATGAAATAGGATCCTAACCAGTCCAATACCATTAAGTTCGAAGGGTAGTATCGGAATGACTGAAATTAACAGGTTTCATCAGTTCAGTGCTTTGTCAAGTTCTTAAAGTTCAACAAAGCTTGGGTGTTGCAACGGTTTCACCTGGAATCCCACATATAATTATGCATAATGATCCAAATGTTCCAATTGCAATAACAAACTATAAATATCTTTACAGCACAGACAATGCATACAAACATAATCTCATTGCTATTTCAGAGTATCTTGATTAAAGACATTTCTGTAGGCAAAACAGACATAAGCTGACAGAAACTTCACAAACAATGACCAGTTGCTGCAGAAGGCAACACAGAAAGAGAGTGTAAAGTTACATACATTCCAGTCTTCAAAATTTTATGTACCCTACTGAAGCTGCTCTCCAATTATGTTTTGTGTGTGTAAATTTTCAGTCCTCTTTTTTTCCTACAATGAATCAAAGACACAAAGATATTATGAAATATACTCCATATTCTTGCTAATATGTATGGCAGATATGGCTGTCAAAGCAATCTGCAAATACTGTAATAGAGGGATATGAAACAAATTCTCATTCCAAATATACTTTTCTAATCACATTAGTGGCTGATCACAGTGGATGCATGATCTAAGGCATGAAATGTCTTCGCCCACTTCAACACTGGGATCGTGGGTTTGAATTCCACTCAAGGCATTGATGTTTGCGTTTATTCTGTGTTTGTGTGTAGGTAGTGGTCTTGCAATGGGCTGATCCCCCATTCAAGGAGTCCTACTGACTGTCTCAGATTAAGAAATTGAAGTGAAAGAAGCATTTCACAGATATCCTACATTCCAGTGGGAACAAGAGGAATAAATAAACAGAAAGATTGACAGATACAATGATGAGTATCTTTGGTTTTTAAATTTGAGTGTTATTCCATGAGAGAAGGATGAAATTCATTTCTCCATTTCATGCAGTTTGTGCAATGAACACACAAAAATGTAATCTACCATGTCATACTAAACCAGTCAGAGATTCTTTGTAGCACTTACATCAAAATAATACTGATATGACTGCTGCTTATCTCCATCATTATCATACATTTCTGCCATCTTATGTAGAACTCCCGGGTCAGTTGGTACAATTCCAAGAAGCTGAAGATACCTGGAAAATAAAAATCAGATATTTGCTTATGGAAGACCTGTCACAGATATGCTTAGAAGTTATTCCTGTAATTATCCCTTTTTGGTCAAAATTAAATACCATTATGGCTCTCTGCTGGTCCATTTAAATGTCACTGGGCTATGTAATTTCAACTGCTATTATGAAGTTGTTTGTTTTCTTTATAACTTCCATAAAACAGAAGAAACTTTCCAACTTTCAGTAAACTTGAATGAAAATCAGGAACAACAAATCAACTTCTGATTAATTTTGTGCTTAGTTATAAGGTTAATGTAATGATGGATTTTAAGGGGTTTATATTAAAGTAAAGGTTCAAACTACACAGATAACAGTAAATACATATAATCACCATTCTGATGCCTGATCCACATCCCCAAGAAGCTCCTGGAGGTGTGCCACCTGGTAGAGTACCTGTGGATGGTGGCGCATAATAGCCTGCAGCTTTAGAAAGCATTCCAAAGCCTCCTCATACAGTCCCAGCTGCTTGTTCACAAGACCTATTTATATGCATAATTCAAAGACCATTTTTATCTATACATGAAACCTTCACTCTGCAGAAAGACAAATCCTTATACTAAGCTGTTCCACTGTGAAAATGCAAAACAAAATCAAAGCGTTGAAACCCGTCTAATTCCAATTATGGCACCAGATGAACTCTACTAAGGGCTAGAGATACTTACCATGGGATTAATTCAACATTTACAGGAGATCAGGTATGAATTTTGTTACAATAATCATCAGAACCAGGTACACAACAAAAGAGGGCAGATCTTTACATAAAGAGCATTTCTTGCACATTTTTTACTTTTTAACAGAAAAGCGCAGTCGGTATAGCAAAGGGCTATGGGCTGGAAGACCGAGGAGGTCAGAGTTTGAGTCCTGGTAGGGACAAGAATTTTCTCTTCTCCATGTCATCCAGATTGGTTCTGGGGCCATCCAGCCTCCTATCCAATGGGTACCGGGGGCTCTTTCCCCAGAAGTAAAGCGGCTGGAGCGTGAAACTGACCACTCACCTCCAACTAGTGCCGAGGTCAAGGAAAACGTGGACCTATACATCCACTTCCCCACATGCCATCATGGATTAGTGCTTAATTAATTAAGCACAGGGACAAATTTATCTTTAACAGAATAAAAGATCACATATCTGTGATAACTATCTGTATCTCCAAATGTTTTGACTAACTTTATCATTCATTATTCATGATGGCAAAGTCATATATAAAACAAATAAATAAATTCACACAGATCTGTCAATAATGTGTCACCTGTTGGCAAAAACCATTACAACGATATGCCCCTGCATCCCCAACGTTCTTTATCATGATCACAAAAACCATCAAGCCACCCATACCCTGAACAAAATTAATTCAGTCCATACCCCACATCCCACATTTTTATTATCTCCCAACTGTCTCCTTCCTTCTGGTCTTCCAATGAAAATTTTATATGCATTTTTCATCTCTCCTACCCATTTTATCCTCCATCATTTGATCAAACAGTGAATCCTTCACAATACAAGTATCTCCTCACCCAGGTTGTAAAGGGCCTCCACACATGAAGCATCACTATCCAGAGCACAGGCAAACAGTTCTTTGGCTTTCTCAACATCATTTCGGGCTAAGCTGCAGTTTCCCAAGTTCACAAATGCTGCTGCATTGTAGCTGTCTGCCTGTCGAGCCATCTCCCCATATTTCTCTGCCTGACCTATATCACCTTGCTGTAAAAGGATCACATGTGGAAATTACACCATGTAACCAGAATGCAGTCTTCTAAGTGTATTATGTTCTGTTTAACTGAAGAATTTTACTTTGGCCAGGGATTAAATATTCAAGCTTTACTTAGGAGCACTAGGCTTTACAGCCTTTACAACTTTCTTGGTCCATAACTTTCTTTAGCATGATAACAAACCTCAGTGACTCCTTGACGAATATGCTCTTTCTTCCAGATACTGCATTTGAAAAAATGTCATATTCTCTATCTCAGCAATGTACTAGAATTAGAGCAATAAAAAAGAAATACTTTGTCTGGCTGTAGTACATCTCCACTGATGGTGTCTCCACCTTATTGTGGTGGTGGGGTTTGAGTGCTCTGAGACCCTGAGAGCTATGCTGGCGGTAGCGTAGCCACTGGTAGGGTCACTTGCGCTGGACAAGTCAAGAAGTAGGAGCCAGATGAAGAGGGACACCCTGGTCCTCCTCACGCCATAAAAACTAAATTGTTCAGAAACCAGATAATCAGCCTCAGATGGATGGACAAGGTAGACAGGAAGACCCAGGTTGAGATGGTTGGAGGATGTATATGATTATCTCCATTAAATGAAAGTGAAAGGATATAGAGAAGAATGGAGGTAGATTGTTCAGGAGGCCAAAGCTCACACTGAGCTGTAGCGCCGAAGGGAATGAAGCTGTAGTACAAAACATACACTTCCACTTTGGACTCAATATAAATAATTATTAAAAATGGATCTTTTTTAATAGGCAAGCTTAATAGTTGAACTGAAAAAAACATGAAACATTTCCTTAATATGTGGGGCAATCCAGACCAGGAGGGACGAACTCCTTATGAATAATCCCG